GTCGTCTCCAGCCATTATTAGTCTCAAAGTGGGTTCCTCGTCATCGAATTTGAATTCACCAAGGAGTAAAATTGTCACAATTTAAAGTGCATGAGTTATTAATATCGCTGTACAGCAAAAATGTCCACTTCAAAGTTGACTTTTACAAATAACAATAGCATCTTCTAGTAAACTTTCATAACACTACTAACAAATGGTCAACCAGAGGTTGTAGTGTTGTCTCAGATAATTCCAAGGAGCTTGTATAAGTAAATGAATCAGTATTGGACTGACCACCAAAAATAAATAAATAAATGTAATATTGGTAGTAAATAAAAAAAAGGGTAAGTTATTGTGATTGATAGGGATTTTTTACAATAAATTATAACCTTTTACCAAAACTTTTATGTTTGGTAAAAGCTATATTATATGGAGAGTATAATATATATTTTTATCAATCCAACAAATATTCGTTTTCTATAACATCTGAGAGGATTTTCTGCGATCACGCTGCCCTCTCTTAGATTGAGCTGTAATTCTTTGGAATGTATTAGGCCAACAAGTAAGTTTTTTGACGAATTATAAAGTTGTTTAAAGAGTACTTTATTATAACTACAATGACAACTTCTAGATTTATCGAAACAATTTATGAATACTTTTTATTTTTGTATCATAATGTACGCAAGCTACATAAGGTTCATCGGGCGTTTTATACTTCTAGAATCTCGAGTACAGCTTCAGTTTTAGTACTTTTACGTAGTGAAATTAGTAAAGCCTAGATGATAGATCATAAACGACACGTGAAAATGATGACGTATAGTTTAATTAGTAAATTAATAATTCATTCAAAACCTGGTTTCAAAAAAAGCCTTCAGGATAAGTTTTAACTCACATGAATTTTGATAAAAGAGTTAGCACAAAGGTTCACATCTAAAGTGTAATAGATTTAAAATAAGACCCTAAACTCGAGTGCTTTCGAATAGTTGACTATTCTTCTTGTTCTCATGAAGAACAAGAACAATAGTCAACTATTTGAAAGCGCTCGAGTTTTGGGTCTTATTTTAAGTTTATTAACTCATATGAGAAAGGCTTATTCATGTGCATGCAGTGAATTTACAACATTGTTTTGAATGAGAAGTAAAATTGAAAGTGAAAAGTCAAATTGTATTATGCCGGTTTAATATTGATGAGCTTTATAAATTTAATAATGATATGATTAATACTTCAATAACATACTGGTAGAAGTACTATATAAATTAATATAATAAAGTATAATTTGATATTTATTATAATTTGATATTAGTAGTTGTGTAGAAAATTTACTCAATTTAATAATATTAACTGTTGTTTCTATTTCAGTTTCAATTTCATGGTTGATGAAAATGTTTTTTATGTTTTTTTCTTTCGTTAGATACTAGGTTTGTATCATTATTACTATTAATTATTATGAATGGAAGTAGAGAAGTAGGCCTAAAAAATGTATTTTTTAAAGGTTAAGTCTGTTGTCTATAAGGTCGTCAAAAATGAAATGTATTTCTAGACGCAATATGAAGATAATATTTTCCAGAATTGTAGTATTATACTATATTATCTACAGAAAAGACTGTAATATACAATATATATAAAGCATTTTTTGATTTTTATTCTTAAGGTTTAGCAACAGTAAAATAGATTGAGTGAATACTAACCTTAATTTTTTTTCATAATAACTGGAACACAAAATCTTGCATTGGATGAGAATGGTTTGAAGAAACATTATATAATTAGGCCTACAATAATTAATAAAACATGGATATAATTATGTATGGTTATGCAATATTTGAACACTACTATATTTCATGTTTTCAGGTGATCATTTACTCGAGAATTATGATGTGTACAATTTGATTCCAAGCAGACAAAATGTCATTACAGTCTTCAGTGCAAGAAGACAGTGTGAGTCATTTCAGGTTATCAAGACGCTGGTTTGTTTATAGTTCCATTACTTTTTTGGCAACATTTACAGCATTATACCATCATTCCAGTGTACAACAAGAACAACAAAAGAAAGAAGTTTATCATTGGTTGAGAAATATTGGTTCATATCCTCATCGTAAAGCAATATATAACCAGGGTGAGTATGTATTATTTTCATTCAAATATTATTATGTGGTCAGAATTGAAAAAAAACCTAACTTTAGCTGTTTTTCAAGGAAACTGTTACGTATGATTTTTTGTTTCAAATTTTGGTATAATGTGTAAATTTGAAATAAAATAATGATCCAAAAACTATATAATTTTACCACATTTTATCTAGAAATACTGTACAAACCTCGGTAAGACATTTTAAAGTTTTTTAATCTGCTTTTTGCTTTATTTCTTTTTTTTTAGCTTTTATACCTGTAAATGTAAGAAATAAAGGAGTCTTTGAGTTTTAATACAATAGTTGTAAAATACTTTGGTAAAGAAGAAAATTAGATGTATGGAGATGTTACTAGCTGGTATTAAAAATAAATTTAATACTCATGAAGCCCTAAATCATAACAGATGATTTAAGATTGCTTAAGTTATTTGTTTTGAAACAAAGAAAAAGTAAACTGTGTTATTCAGCTGGTCACAGTTTGTAGGAGACTGAGCAGGTCATCTGTGGGAAATCTGAACCCTGAAGTAGCCGGAATGGTAATAGTTTGACTACTAAGACATTTTGTTGTGAGCTTTGGTACATTCAAAACTATATTAATCTCACAGAACCACTTCTTACGAGTTGTTGATAGTGCACAGTGTTTCATAACGACATAATGTGAGTTAATAACATGAAGAAAGGTTCAATATTTTGTTAAATAAACCTAAATAGAAGAAAAGTTTAATTTATGTGGAAGGATAATTGGTGTACCCGCATTCTTACATTTCACAGAAACCATTACCATCCACAAGGTGGGAGGAAAAGGTCAAATGCTCCTTACTCTCCCAGGTTTTTAAGACCTAAAACTCGACAAGGTTACCTGCATGGCTAAATGCATTTAAGAGCTTTTGCTGTTAAATTCTTATAATAAAACAGATACAGTAATAGATTAAGATGTTTTGTGTGTGTGTGTGTAGACACTAAGTGATAAGTTTCTTAATTTGGTTGTAATTACAACTTCTTTCCCCTCACTGTAAAACTCATTTCTGATGTTTTTGTTTTTAGCAAAACAATTTTTAAGTTTGATCCATTTTCCGAGTCTTTCAAAAACTCCACGAATTAAAACATTCTGTATTATTAGGTCCTTTATCTAATATCTATGCATCTGTTACAAACTCATTTATACACATAGAAAGAACATATATATATATATATATATAATAAGTATAGCTTTGAAACTATTATATCAATTACATTAATTGTCAATAGGCAATCAAAATCAGCATTATAAAACAATAATGAACTTAATATAAATTCAAAACTATTTAAAGAAACAAAAAAACTTTGCACTTTCAGGTCATTATCCAAAAGTCATAACAGAGATTGCCTGTGGTAATAGCACCTAAAACTAAAAGCATTGGGGATATCCCATCTATCAGACAAAATCCAAAAAGCAGATGAGAAACCAGTTAGCAGTCATGCTTACAACCACAACGTCTCAACTTTTACTGTCTGTCACTGTCTGCAGCCAGTTGTGAGAAGGCAGTTACCCTTAAAAAAGATGTAATAAAGTTAAGAGTAGAAATAAGATAAAATCAAGCCACCCCAAAAAATATATTTCTACTAAACAATGCCTACCATTCTCCACCCTTAAAAGTTCTAAAAAAATCCTTAAAGTAGAATAAATACCACTCTAATAATTCTACTACATGTTGCTCCCAACCTCCACCCTTTTCTAAAAATGACTTATTTATTATAAAAGATCTGTATTATTAGGTCCTTTATCTTACATCATAAGTAGTTCATATTGGCACATTATTCAATTATAGCATGGGATAGCAGAGTCAAGCCCAGCATCTTGAATTTAGTCTTTCCAGTCCAGCTATACTGAATGTATTTAACTTGCATATTAAAGGTAGCTAACTACCTCTAGTGACAAAAAAGCTTTTTTTCTTCATTGAATATTTATCTAATAAAATATTTTAAAATTTATTATAAAAACTTGCAAAAAACTTTTTTATTTGCCAGTATTTGTATCCATTATTTTCTAATATAGTTATGAATAAGATAACATTATCCATAAAAAACTTGCTGTTATTGCAAACAGTTAAAAATCTTTTTAATAGAGATGTAATGATGCCTTTTAACTACAACTGGCTGCAGACAGTACAAGGCAGTAAAAGTTGAGATGTTGTGGGTTTAAGCACTCAACTCTGTACTCTTAATGAATTTTTCATGACTGCTATCTGGTTTCTCATCTGCTTTTTTTGTATTTTGTCTGATAGATGGGATATCCCCAATGCTTTTAGGTGCTATTACCACAGGCAATCTCTGTTATGACTTTTGGATAATAACCTGAAGGTGCGAAGGTTTTTTTTGTTTCTTTAAATAGAGTTTTTAATTTATATCTGTATATTTACAGAAATAATGTTAAAACTTTAAAACGTTACATATAAACAGATAGTTAATCAAATAAAGTTTAACAGAGCAAATTTAATACAGAAAATGTTTTGAATAAATTATATTGTAATGTTGCAACAACATGTCAACAGATGGCAGCAGTTGTGTTGGAAACTAATATTTATAAATTTGCAAAGCATTAAGAAAAAGTTGTAAATTAGTATCAATCGGTAGTTGTTTCTTAACCTTTTTTAGTTTTCGTAACCTCGAAATGATATAAACATTTGGTGAGATTCAAAGTGGTAGATAGTACAGTTTTCATAGCATCGTGTTAAAGGCTAATTTCATGACTGAGAATAGAGCTGTGTAAATGTTAAATTTTTTTTTCCGATCGTGTATTCGAGCGAAACTGTTTGTAAGTTCTGTTACCCCGTTAGTTTATATAGTTTATAAATAAAAATAATATGTGAATTACATGAAACACACAATTATTGATTAGTTGTAAAAAACACCGAAATAATGAGAGACTTAACAGTATTTTGTCATCAGTTTAAAGTTGCTCATCATATAACATATTTTTCTTCTCATATTTTTTTATTGTAAAGTACAAGTTGGCTATTTGCCTGTCATCTCGTGGTGCTTTATTCAATTTTTGAATTTTACAGTTCATGAAATCATTTGTGTTTATATTTGATGATGTAAACCATTTTATATAATTAAACTGGTGGCAATTGAAAACATAATAAATATAAATAGATATAATAGCATTGGAATGAATTATCCCTTTATTATAATTTGACATTGAAATAACTGTTTTGATGATGTACGCTGTGAGAGGATCTCCAAAGAAAATTACTGTTTATACAGTTTACCTTCTCTGGGATCCAAACATTCACCCACAATTTAGAGGAGAGGATCCTGATGGTTGAATATTGTACAGAACACTGCAACACACCATTTTGACCTTGAATTCCTGTAGACAGGTGGGCCCCCCAGGGTCAGTCGGCTAATCTCCTTTACATGAGTCAACCAAGCAGCTCTGTGGATCACTTCATCTGATTGGTTGGTGAGGTTGTTCGGAAAGGGATTAGATGTGGTGGTGTTTTACCTTGCCGTGCTAATGTAGTTTCTGTGAATCCACGGCTTTGATCATTGCACAGTTTCTACAAAATAGGCCGTGTCCCCTTGTAGGGTTCCATGGTGGGTGGGGTCAGTGGAAGCCGAATTTCACAAAACTTTCATGGATTTCCAAATTCCCAAACATTTTATAAGTGGGGCTCTGTTACCAGCACTTGTGGCTCATAATTTTATATTAGTTGTGCCTCATTTTATCATTCTGTACTTCTTATTTGAAAAACGTTGTTCAAATATTTTATTTTTTCAAATCCTAAAAGGAATTGAGGATCTAGCAACCAAGCCTAACAATGTCAAGAAATTTTACTCTAGGGACTTGTTAGTTGAAAGACCAAAATCTAAGGACTGTGAGATGCCTTATCAGCGTCAGGTCTTGGGAGTATTCCCATTCAGGTCACCCTTAATTACTTTATTGTTGCTCTTGATCTTGTTGGTGTTTCAGTGATTTACATCGTCTGAACTGACCAGCCAAGGTGTAACATCAGTCAAGTATATTTCCATCTCAAAGGATGGCAAACAAGTTCCAACTAAAAGTTTAATTCTATCAAGCCAGTTTACCTTAACTGTAATGTACGATTCGTTGTCAGTGTTTTGGTTACTCTAGGACATCTTGCCATTGGCCCCTTACTTACACCAGTTAAGGCCATGAAAGTAATGACTGCCATGCTCTGCGTCACTATATCAACTGTGATGGCTCACATCCTTCGTACTCTCGATCTTGTATGAAGTAGTAGTCCATAAAGGAAAGGTACAAACCCTTAAATCTGTCCCTCCTAAGAATTTCTTTTTGTTTTCGTTTTGGGCTTTATCCACTTCTAAGGATTTCTCTGTGAACAAATCTGTAAATACACCTATACGTCTACCCTTAGATGGATCTACACTTATAAAATTGGTCCTATTTGTAGCAATCTAAGAAGGAAAATAAACGTAAAGGATGGAGTAAAGCCTCTACTTTTATTCCTCATAACTCACCCACATTAAATAGGTAATAATGGCGCTTTCCTTCAGTGGCATTGTCGAGATTTCTTTTCTAACCTGGAAGACATGAAGTCCTTGATCAACAATTACTATCTAGTTTTAATTTCCTTGCAGGAAACCTACTTCAGGCCTGCTGATGCCATCTCATTAGGTCAGTTTTCACTTTTTCAGAGGAACAAGATGCGTGATGGATGAGTTCATGGTGCCACACTTCTTGTAAGTTATCAAACCCCTTTCTGGTCTTTATCATTGACTGCCCAACTTGAGTTTGCTGCTGTTAATTTTTCCTTTGGTTGTATAGTTGCTATTTTTTCCCTGTATCTGTCACTTGGAGAAGCTTTCGATTGATCAGGTCTTCATGATCTGGTTAACATCTTAGCTGCTATCTCTCTTTCTCATTGTTGGAGAAGTTAATGGACACAGCCAACACCTGGGTTGTGTTGATAGCAATGTGAGGGGAAGATTGGGGGATTTTGACCTGTCCCCTTTTTAATACTGGT